GTTACAGACTATTGGACAAGGAAGCCAAGCTCTCATATGCATCTTGTTTATAAAAACCGAGTACCCGTTTTCTTCTCAAATGCGTCTTCCTGAAATTTCCTGGATATTCATTGACTACCACACAAATGTAAGTGAAAGCTACAAAACAATTCCACAAATCCCGTAATAAACCTCACCTTTCGAATGACGCAAAGCGGATTTACGAGAAAACCACATACTACTCGCATGCCTCATGAGCAGTACCAACGGTTACACACCACATATTGTTCAGGCTGGTTTGTTTAAAGTGTCTAGAGTCATAGCCACTCTTCGACCGGAGTAAAGTTAATGAAGTCTCCAAGCTACTTTAAATCATCGGAAGCGATGCATATGATCTAGCCAGTCTGAAAAAGGCTTTTGATCAGCACTACATAAACTTCCCCACTAGTGTACCCATGATAAGATTTAATCCAAAAAGTATATTGTCGATCCTTGGTTAAAAAAACATTCATCCAGTCATCTTGGATGTTGCAAAATCTACGCTGTCGCAGGTAATACAAAGATATAGTCGTTCAGCTGTACCACCCTGTGATGACCATGATTGATACTCTACTCATTGCTCTATTCATTATTCTCTTGTTTTAATATCCCATATGCTGTACATATACGCCAATTCGAATACATACATGCTACTTGTTGTGCTGATCTGAATTCTGGATTTCCAGTTGGTCCGGTTTTACCGATATATGTGCGAAACTCAATTCTCACATTTTGGCGTCGCGATTGGAACAATTCATCATGCCTGCCGAAATGGAACCGTTAGATGTTAATTCAACTGCGCGTGACGTAGAGGATTATTTGGAACGATTCGACATATAGTGTCTCACAAAATCTGATATGGATGATAAGAAACTCACGGCATATTTCCTATATTTCGCTGACAAGGAGGCGTATACGTTGATCAAGAATTTTAGTATATCCTGAATCTCCAATCGATATTTCCTACAATGCACTGAAGAAAAAAGTCCTTCAACACTTCAAGCTGATTAACTTTGTAGCAGCAGAAAGAGCTAGGTTCAATATGTTGATCCGCTCCCGTTCTCAGTCGGTTCATGATTTTGTATTGCAGCTGCAGACACAGGCAGCCAAAGTGACTACGGTGCCCACTTGGAAGACCAGCTGCGTGATGGGCTCATTGCTAGCATTCAACTGCCCGATTTACAGCAGAAGCTGCTGCTCTGTTCGGACCAGAAATTTCAAGCTATTCGGAAAATATGTGAGCAGTATGACGATGTGAAGCATGCAACGAAGACTGAGGAAGCAGTCTTGTTAAATTATTCTGAAAGAAATAATTCAAGGATGCAGACGAACAACCAATTCAAACCTCGAACAAATTTTCGTGCCCCGAATCCATCAACATGACACTTCACAGATCGTAATTCTAATCCGATGGTTGAAAAATTTGGAAAATGTGAATCTTGTGGGCGAAACCATTCCAGATATTCATGCCCTCACAGACGAGCGAAGTGTTTTATCTGCGGTAAGCATTATCTGAAGATGTATCTACTCTTTCTTTGTCTGTTTTATCCCGAAATTCGTCACACGTATTTAAAACTTTGATATCTGCTGCTGGTTAAAAGCATGACTTCATTGTTGACACTGGTAGTGTTGAGTCCATTATTACACAATCAGATTTGACTGCATTCTACCCCAGTGCCTTGATATTGCCTACAGATGTTAACCTTCGTGGAATCACTGGACATTCTGTACCTCTAGTTGGTAGTTGCACGATCCCTGTGAGATTACCCCAAGGTACTTCTATCGATTGTAATTTTTTGGTTTCAACTCCGGGACCATCGATTATCGGACTCAAAGTTCTGCGCTCACTGCAAGCCAGTATCACCTTATCGACCTCTGTGAATGAGAATGAAATCAGACAACCCATTCTCAAATGTCCTAAGGCTTCAGGTGGCATGCAAATACCCTGGAGACGAATTAGCTTACACGGGCCGGTTTGTCAAGCGTTTCAGCGAGTTCATGCCGACTACTGTGGTTCTTTTCTCGGCTTTGATTTTTATTGACGCATATTCACGTTGGCCTGAAGTTTTTCTGACTAAGTCTCCAAGTGCCGAATTCACACAGCGGGCATTGAGGAAAGTATTCAACCATGAAGGTGTACCAACTGTTTTGGTCACTGACAACAACACACTTCACTGCAAAATTTCTCGAGGAATGGTTGAAGGGTCTTGGATGTCGACATCTGTTTACTGCTCCGCGACATCCCGTCGAATGGACTTCCTGAGAATTTTGTCCGAACACTAAAGTCTGCCATTATTTCACTCCCGCGCTTCTATTTGAATCTCGTTCGTTGCGTACAAGTCTTGACTGTGCCGAAACGGCTGATGTGACATTTTTCAAGGGTAATGGTTTACGACCTGCTACAGGAACAGTACTTTCATCAAATGGCAAACGGATGGTCACAATTCTCTATTTGGATGATCTCTCTTGTCATCGGAGACACATTGACCAGGGTGAGTTCAATACCAAAGGTCAGTCTGTTAACGGCACTCCTGATGTTTAAAATACTAATTAATCCTTTGTAGATGGTCTTGTGGTATCCGAACAAAACGCATCTGAAGAACGCACTGCCTGTGAAAAATCTGAAGTTCCCATTCCGAGAGGATCCGAAAGGTTGCGATCAAGACCACCACTGGAGTACAAACATCTACACGCTCATTCAAGGTGTGACGGATATGATGAACATGATACTCTATTCACTATTCTCTTGTTTTAATATCCCATATGCTGTACATATACGCCAATTAGAATACATACGTGCTACTTGTTGCGCTGACCTGAATTCTGGATTTCTAGTTCGTCTGGTTATATCGAAGCTTAATTCTCACACACCCCTTCAGTGCCCAGCTGCCATGCCGCCCAAAGGGATACTGCCAGGTTGCCCAATCCTAGACAGGGGAAGTCGAGTGGCAGAAGCCGGGTTCGAACCATGGACCTTCCGGCCGGAAAATTCGCGCTTTAACCACTGAGCCATCTCGCAGGACTCGATTTCATCACACTGGATCGAAGAATATCGCCGGAGGTCATCGTTACAACAAAGGAATTTCATAGAACAGCAGTCGGTCGCCACCTGTTGGATGCAGGCTACCTAGATTATCCAGACACACTGTACCAGCAAATCGATTGTGCCTGAACGCATCAATATATGGCATGACAGCACTTACTTTCAAAACTAAGGTAGCCGCTATGGCAATCCTAGTCTATACTTCGCTTTTACAAAGATCACGTGCAGCTACCTACGCCCTCTTAAAAAACGGTAACCAAGCTCATCCTCGAACACCTGGCAGACTCCTACCGTACCCAAGTGGGACTTAGAATAAGCCTATGTATTTTATCCCCTTTAAATGTCCAATGGAATTTCTTTTTAACACCTCAAGTCTCAAGATATATTCAATGAAAGCATGGCTAGCTGATGCCCATCAGGATGAATCGTACTGTAAGACCTCTCGAATTTGTGCTTGAGCGGGCTAAAAGCTCGCGTTGCACCACCATCTGGAAGGTTTTAGACATATAGATCGGCCGAGTTTCTTCACACACCAATCCGAGCAGCCCACTTATAAGATAATTGCTCTGACATGTGACAGACTCTAGGAAGGTGGCGCAGTACGTAATGGTCGAATTTAAGAATGCAAGGACCGAATAACTTAAAGTGAGATTCACGTACGTATAAAGCTACATTAATAAAGCGCGCACTGTTGTGTTGCATACAGCTAGACAGTCTGTGCGCCGTGTATGCTGGTGCGGTTTCTGCGGCATTTCGTAAACCTATTGATTGTGTAAGATCCCCTGCAATATGACATCTTTCTGTAGTCTGTCTGGGGCTACTATGTCGGAGTGTAAGAACCGAAGCGCTAATGTTCGATAAAACACTTTTATTCCTTAATCTTGATAACTAATTCGTACGAAATCACCGAATAACTGGAACAGATGACTTTGAACTGGCTGCTGCACCACCACCTGTGCTACAGATTACATTCGATTCTATTGTCCGACACGAGTAATGTGGATTGGTGGCTACCATATCAACCGAATCCGTGGACAGGCATTATCAATTTACCCTAATGTTTAAATAATGTACCTGATTAGTTTACTTACTGGCTTCTACCACCCTATTGCTTTTTTTAAGGCCGTCAACCGATTACTCTTGGTACACAATTGATGGAATAAAGACGAAATATTAGCAATAAATCTGAGAAATTTGTGGAGCTTTCGTCCAGTGAGTGAAGTCAATCTATGCTGAAAAGCCGAGATTGGCTTCACCTGCAGGACTAAATCTGCACACAAAAAACCCAAATGTCCTCACACTACCAACAATCCGAGAAATTTGTCTTCCTGAGGAAATATTTGAACGGACCAATTTAAAACTTTGGGCGTTTGTTCGCAGATGAAGTTAGTTCCAGTCCACGTAGTGGAAACAATAAACGCAATAAATTGCAATCACCAGCAATTCAGAGTACGAACGTACAAGTAGCTGCACCTGGATTTCCCATCCCTTAAACACAGTTCCAAAACAGTGGATAGTGACGTTCCTCTATCAGTGGAAATCAGCCGATTCACCGAAAATTTGAAACAGTGTATTCTTACTTCCATTTTCAACCTCATTTCGCGAGGCGTTAGAGACATATTCCTCATCCTTTCCAATGAGAATAAATAAGGTGTATTATGTAACCTAACTTTAGCTCGCACGGTCAAATCGAGTCGAACAAACCTACAAAACGCTGATGCATTTGGGGGCAGAAACCACGAAGTATCCACTAACTTTGTGACGGCAACAGAACATGCTGCGGTTTTCAAAGATATGCTTCTAAACTGCAGGGTGTAGTACTCTACTCCAAAAAATAAGGCGGTTAAAACACCTAAGGCACTTTTGTGACGATGGAAAAGACCAGGTCACAGACAGAAGACTCGTGTAGTTTCAAAGAACCCGCTCAAAGAGCTGGTCTCTTCTGTGTATTAGTAAGTGGTTCACATGGGATTGCCTGGGCCCACACTAATAAACAATAGTAAATACTGGGCTACCAAAATAATAGGAAGAAAAAAGAAGCTGATGTACAGAATTTGGTCGAAACTAGAAAGCGGTGAAAGGTTGCAAACGAGTGAAAGACGGTGTTGAATAAGATAAATGCTGGAAGTCAATTAAATGCGGAGTTGGTAATTCTTGCGGACAAGATGACTTGTTGAAACATATAAAAAAGAAGCCCAGAATAGAAACGTTTCAGAGCAGCAAGGCACAATATGAAAGGCGATCGTCCAGATCTATCAGGAAGTTGGAAGTCAGTTCAAGAAGTCGTAAAGTTTGCTTTGGAATTGTGCCGAACTGACAAACTGCCAGTGTGGAAGCTTAAGTGCGTCAGTGATGCACCGTTCGGCCGCCGTTTTACGTCGGTCGTTATCCTTTCCCACACTGTCTATGGCGGAATACCAGGCGAGGACTGTTGCTGGAATATCTTTTCTTTCATGGTCCTCCAAACTGCAACAATTGTCCTCGACAATCAAATCCAGATGGGGGTCGAAATTTGAGTCGCATAAACTGCGACGACGATTGTGATGCCGACAAATCACGAGCAACGTTACAACGGATAAATAGCAAACATTTCCACCAAGTGCCAAGAATAAAAGCGAAGGACAAAGTGAAGGTAGACTACGAAGAATCTGGTTGAATTCTTTCCAGTCGTTATCACTTTTAGCGGATGCTTCCACAATAGACTGTGGATCCAGCTGATCTCCCGAAGATGCCTAGAAGAAGAAGGGACCGAACCATTTAGATAGCTCCACTATTATAAGGATACCTAGAGTGTGAAGTTTGGAGCCAATATGACAATGCAACGCAATGGAATGAATGGGATAACTAATCCACCATATAATTACTCAGTAATAATCATGCTTGATCGAGAATGACCTTCGGATTTTCGCGTGGTGGTAGCATCATAGTTTGAACCCTTCCATAACCAACGGGCGTCGAATGCTGTTACAACGGATTGATGTGGATTTTATTCAGCTGAAAATTATCCTGTATTGCGACAAAGGTTAGTCATTAACCCCAGCCGATCAAACGGATGGGAAACTAATGGCTATACCAAACAAACCTGTAGACGCAGACGCTGGAATAGAAATGGAGTGAAACATCTCATAGTAGTGTCCATAACTGAGAGAGTACCCTCATCAGTGAAGTGCATCAATATTCGAAATGACGTACTTCCCCTCAGTATGGTGCAACTAATAAAGTTGGTAAAGATTGCTCGACAGCTCACTACTACTTGATGCACAAGCACGAAATAGACAGGGTGGAAATCCTGGGATTGTCGAATTGATGGACCCCAGGAAGGTTTTGATAAAACTTATAGGCAGTGTCGTATCATAAAGTATTTGGATGTTCCTATTCACACCGAATACCGTTTAAGTGTGAGAAAAGGCAACATGAAGGACAAACACCTCCAGTATAACACGATTTAGTCAAAACCAAATAATCATTGCATGAGGAGGCATCGTTGCGCACTTTAATGAACGGATCCACCTTGGGCCATGTATAGATTTCTGTAATTGATGATTGATGTGAAGACTTGATCTGGGGTCGGCGATCAAATTGTGAGTTGCATCTTTCCTGGATAACCACCAATTGCTAGGGCGAAGGAATGTGAGTTGAGCGCTATGGGACATAGATTGGCTGACTACTTGCTTCGTTCACATACCGATGTACGACCATTCAAAGCCACGGGATTGGTGAACTTGAATGCTTGTAAAGGTGCACATCATCATCATCAACAGCATGACATCAGTGTTCAGTGTTTCGTTGCCGTACAGCCACGATTTATTTGAAAGCCCTATTGTGAAGAAAAGAATAAAGGTGAACGGGGAAGGGACTTAGTGCTAGCTTACCACAATCATTCCGAGGTGCCTATACCTCCAAACACTCATTCAGGCGATCCGGATAGAAACTGACAAGAACGCCACTGACATCGGTTGGCAGCCACATCTTGCAGCGTCTCCAACCAGGCACAGTGAGGATCACGCGGCCCCCATCCTGGAAGGCGAGTAGCACCGACGGCAGCCAAGCGTTTCGTGATCTCCTTCATACTCCTTTGCCAAGTCAAGGGTTGGCTACGCCACTCTGAATAGGGCATGGAAAACAGCACTCTCTTGGGCAAACGGTGGTTCGGCATACGTAACACATGTCCCAACCAACGCAGCTTCTGGTGCTGGACACATTCTTCAATGGAAGTACCCGGTTCTGAGACAACGAATGTCGAACACCTAAAGACGTCTCAGTTCTGCTGCTTGAACGGGCCAAGTCTCACAAAAGGTGCACATAAAACTTAGATGAATAAGTTAGTGAATAATGAGCCCTAACAAACCCGGACCATCACAAAAAGCGAGTTAAAATTCACTAAGCATGCAAAAATTGGTCACAGTACAATCGGACTACAAAAGAATACTAACCTCAATTGAAATGACGAGCGTGGTTAATGTAGCTGAATAAGTTCCAAAGTTAATTTTATTGCTCAAGCTTAAAAAAGCCTGGGTGAACTGAGGACCTTTGCTCGTTCGAAATATTAGTGCGGAGACGGGACAGGGTTGCATCGGCCAGAGAGACAGTAAGCGAGGCACTAGTGCACCGTTTTGCGTGACAAGTACGGAGCCCTCGAGCGTAATTCGAAGAAAGTAGTTTCGAAGTTGAACGGACAAGTTGGGACGTAAAGTTAGTGCGGCGTGCCAAACAGCCGGCCTGATAGCATGCCAGATACTAGAAACAGCAACCAGACTGACGTCCGTAGAGGTCAGAGAATCTCTGTAGTAAGGCACATCCTCACCCCACTCGATCAGATCTTCATCCGCATCCTGATGCAGCTTACCATCATCCTGATGTGGGTTATGACCAAGGTGGAGGAGGTTATAATGATCCAAAATGGAAGAGCTTTGAAGTGATGTTTGCTGGAGAGTGAACCGCGTAAAGTCCGTCTGAAATTAGAATAGGGTATTCATAAGAAGTAGAGGTAACTGCATATGCCAGTATGAAATAGTTCAAGCCCCCACACTTCCTACGGATAAAAGGACAGATGATGAGGAATAGCGGAAAGTGACGCAGCTTGACTAACATACCCCATGTAACGGTGCAAAAGGCATGAGTAAGCCAATAAGTGGCAGTAAGCCACTTGGAAGAATAATACTTCAGACGACCGTCCTACCCAGCAAGATGAGTGCCATGTTGCGACGACCAAGATTGGGTTAAAACCAAACTGACGTGCAAATGAGCACATTTCATCAGATGCATTTGATTTGGGTTCAAGTAGAACATGAGGTCGACGGAAAGTTGGGGCCTGCGCCAACCTGATAACCCCCACGAGGGGCTTGACAGGTCGTGGTTTGTCGAAGAATATTCGACAATCTTGGAGTAGTGCTTTCCGTGCAGACGAGACTGGTTCTTGAATCGGCGAGTTAAATTTTTTCCTAATGCATGAACCAAACAAGGTAACTCAAAATAGCCCATAAAAAGGCTCATCAATGCAACATGTTTTTCAGGATCTAACAAAAGTTGCCTCTTTTAAATTGTCTTGAAGGTAGCCACTTTACTATTCATAATTCTGCAAGGTTATGGCATTTAATTGAATAGATGAACTGATCACAATCCATAGGTTGCGCTGGTGTCGTTCTGTGCTCTCCATACCAGTCGACCGACTTTCCTGAAGAGTCATGTATGCACAACCACGCGAAGGGCTAAATCACCACCATTATCAGTTTTAGCCGTAAAAACCACGTATATGTACACAGGAAACGAGCTAGTGAAGGTCAAGCAATGACTTGGCAGCGAAATAGGGAACCCATTGCCAGCAAACTCAGCTGCGCCGGTCGTTGGGTTCCCCGGGCGAGGACCCCGAGACGGGACAGACTAACGGTTAGGGGCATCGACAGACATGACTTAGTCACGTAGCCAATGGTGCCCATGCATCCAAGTTGTTGCCTTCAGTGCACAGCCTCCCTTTCCAATCTCTCCAATCTCTTACATGCGTAGTCATCCACTCCTAATCCCTTAGATTTTCGCTGAACGAAACCCTGATAGTCATAACCACCGTACAAAATACACACGGTTTTTACAGCTGAAGATGACGATAATGATTTACAACCTAATAAGTATCGAGAGAAACTCAACTTAAAAGAGGCGTCCTAGCTTTTTTCTGCAATTGGAAGGGATCACCGTAGGTAGTTATCTGAGATTGCTTCGCCAGAACCCGAAATATAGTTCACTATTGTAAGTATTCCAAAAATCATAAGGACGAATGAGACCCAGACTAACAGGTTATCACACACAGTTGGCAAGTTTTATGTAGAACCACCGATACGCAAGTTACCGAGAGCGTCTCACTTACCTCTACTAGAAAAAGTTCCACTAGGTTGGTTTGGTAAAGCAGGCGCAGTAGCATAGGTCCGGTTAGCTGGGTTGGGGCGATGGATAAGCGTTTGAGGTTCGGAAACAAACTGGCGATATCCGCTAGCGGGTTCTGGTGAAGTCGATTCGGACGTGCAGCCAACCATCGAGAATCCAATAGATACCAATCAGCAGGGGCTGATGCACTGTTTACGACTGCCTGGCCAAGATGTACAACAGGGGCGTTTTGAATGGTCGGGTCACTGGACAACTTGTTCAAATGTACGAGGTTGAGATCGACTAAGCTGTTCGAAGTGGTCTTTTGAAAAGTAAAATAGAGGTTTAAAATGGGAAAATTAAGCCACACTACTGATATGGAGAAATATATCAAGCGTGATACGCACGGGGATAAATAAGTTGTGTCCACATGTAGGGTCTACGTTCTATGAATATCCATGATTATTCAATGGGATTATCCCAGAACGTAGATATGGCAAGTTACTTGATCGTCGACTAGGCTACGACTTATAGAGACGTTTTATAACAGCTGTCATACTGAGTACGTAGTTGAATCATCCATAGCTATACACCGCTTTTACAAAACCGGAAGGGACCAAAAAGTGGCGCAGGCATCACAAATTTCAACATAATAATCCACTTTTGCGAATGATGCATCATCACAGCCGAATTCGCTCACGCAGTGACGTCAACATACATAGTTCAGCTGTAGCACCCTTTCGGTATCTAACCGCAATGCGACCCAGAGGTTGTACGAGGGCTGGGATACTGCCAGGTCACCCAAGCCTAGACAGGGACAACATACATACAATGAACAACATAAAATTACCGGAAAACCTTGGCAAGAAAAAGCTCACCTCCGTTAAATCTAGTACTAGGTTTCGTGCATCGGGTAAGCTGAGAAACAGATCTGTGAACCTCAGTCGTTCAACGCAAGATAACTGCCGTATAACTCGGCGAATAGTAGACAGAAGCGCCCCACCCGTGCCGTAGACAGACCCGCGAGATTCGTCTACTTCACAGTGAAAATCCAGAAGAAAGCTTATTACGGAAGGTGGGGGACGCGGATGATGGTGTCGATGGGGGTAACGGCAACTCTGGCTCCGTTGATAGACGTGACCACGTGCTGAGGCTCCCGAAATACCAGTGGGTCTTGGCATCGAAAAGGAACTTGAACGCACTTCTCCCAGAAAATTGGAGACATCGAAATTCTTCCAAATGGAATGTGAAGTAAAAAGGGAAAGATTAGAGTCTCAGCGGGAGGTGAAACATGGTAAAAGTGCATGCTAACAAAATCCAGCACGAGGTACATGGACCAAAATACTGAGCAGGAAATTCATGTGCATAAATTAATCCAGGGGAATGGCCACACATATTAGCCAGTTATAATCATTCTGCACAAGTAAATCCAGCACCAGTTATTAGTATCGTAACCAACAGATTGATGGTGACTACTTCGATAAAGACCGGAATATATCGAAAGGGCCACTTGACCGTCCCATGCATTTCATATATTGCTTCCAAAATCTTACATATAATTGAAATTACACATGGGATAAGGATGTGTTTGGCTGTCTAAACGGTAATTTTTTGGAACTCGAGATAGGTTATCGGGGTGGAGGTTGAAATTCTCAAACGAAAGACCCTGGTTCCAACCTGCTCCTCATTGCTATTATCCCTGTGTAGGGTTGAGCAAATTAGCAGTAGCTAGATTCCCGTGTTTCTTTCAGACTATGCGGCCCTTATGAACTGAAAAGAGTACCGCAGACAAGCTGACTGGCTTTTTATTTTCGGCTTACGCCGCGCTTCCGTATCATCAAGGAGCAAATTGCGAGGCGATTCTGGTTGGGAAGACGCAATTCATGCATAAGCACACCTGATTTTCTATGTGACACAAAAACACTCAAACAGAACATTGTGTTGGAGAGTTGCCCAGACTTGACCTTTAGTCAACAGCTCACTGTGGTCACCAGAATTACCAATGCGCGAGTAGCAGTCTCAATTAAAAACTTGAAATCGGGACCCGAAACCCACCTTCTTTCACTATCACTAAAGGAATGGAGTAACCCCCTCTACAACGGCTAAGGACAGGAACAGTCAAAGGCAACCAGTCCAGAGGTACTGACATAGTGGAGTACTTTGTTACTGGGTGTGTGAAGGATGTAACTGTAGCTTGGTATTGTGCTCAGCTTCATGTTTCAGTTTTAGAGGATGAGCAACGTAGCTGGCCAAACGCGGATAGTTTGTCTAACGTTTGCGGCCAGAAAGGTTGAAATTAATTAGCTAATATAAATTAACTAATGAATTAGATCTAATTAATCTAAACAGCGCAATAGGGATTTGAGAGAACCTACGGAAACTATCACTATGGAAGAGTGCCTACACAGTGGTTTTACTGTAATATGTTTGCGGGAGCTTATTTGAATCACGAGCTGATAAAATATTTCTCCTCACATATTAACGACTACATTTCCATGTGGGTATGGGCCTGTGCGATAGACAGGCTACCCTATTCTCCTCTTTAAAGGTCGACCGGATGACTTCAACAGATTCGTAACCAGGTAATTAGAAAACGGGGAATTCGATTATGTATTAGGAATTTCAATCGCGCAAGACAAGTAGTACCATCAACTGCTGTCGATCGGCCATGTGCTACGCATGCTGAAACGCTGTCTATTGAGACGACTGCTGTTCTCCGTGTTGGAGTTGTAGGTTGGCCAACTGTTAACAATGAGTTCGAAACCAACGACCTCAAAAAGAGGCCTTCTGTGGCTGTTATCCGGACAGCCGAGAGAAACGCATTGTTCGTGTAGCTCTTGATAGCGTTGGTTATCTCAGATGTGTGCTAATAAAACCAGCCTTTCAGCGTTTACTACGCACAGTCGACAAAAGACATAACTAATCCATCTATTTTCCCTGGGAATATTTTGACTTGTCACAGTAGAACAAGAATGAATCCAACGGGTATCTACCTAGGTGAAAAGTCTAAAGTGGTTCCAAAACGGATCTTGTCACACCGGGAAAGCCAAACAAAGCCTTTGTTGAGAAGTTCATTCACCGACCACCGTGCAGTAAGTTCTGCCAAACAAAAGCTGGCAAGTCACCCTTTTGCGCGAACGATAAGGTGGGGGCGGAAGGCATTACGCACGCATTTTGACCGGGTAATCAGCAGCATTGAGAACTTTACACTGAAGTTATTTGGTATGTTTGGCTGGGTGACAAACTGATGTAGCGACCTGAAGGTTATAACTTGTTCATCGATGACCAGTAAACAAACAGCTCGACAGTGGTGAGAAATTCAAAAGCCGCAGTATGGTTGAACCACAGGCTAGACCAGGAGACAACCTATCGGCGAGGAATTTGTGCACCCTAATTATCAGTACAAATTTTTTATTTTTTTAATTATCAGTACAGAGAGGTTGACTGAGTGGCGTTTCTCCTAAGGCCTACGTGCACATTGTGATCCAACGAAATGGCTTATTGGTCAGAGCGTGAAATAACTGACCGGAAGGTCCGTGGTTCGAACCCGACCTCCGCCTCTCGATTTCCGCTGTCTAGGCTTGGATAACCTGGCAGTATCCCAGCCCCCGTGCTTCCTTCGGGTGGCATGGCAGCTAGGCACCGGAAGTGTTACAGCTGAAGGAATCCGATTAGTGCCTTTCATCCTCTTGCTGACTGCAGAGAGGCGCCACTACCACTAAGCTGCAACACAGCGCGTAAAATGACCACTGAAAAGACTGAATATAACCAACGGAGTGCGTATTATATTGGCATATTTTTTCAGCCCAAGGTGAATTGAAAAGATGTCCTCTACGGATATCAGAACTATCGCTCTGTTCATATGTCCTACACTCGGACGCCCCCATAAACCGTTATCTATGAACTGTCAGTGAATTCCATACTCTCCTTCTGATGAAAGTACGCCCGGGTATGCCTCCATCTCCTGAAACCTGGGATGCACCCAAAGTTCTTTCGGTGGATGGGAAGAGTGCGTGATGAGGTTATTTGTGCAACGGTCATTCTACAGGTTGAAAAATTGCCATCAAAGGTCGGTGGAATCAATCAATCACACACTATACTCGGTTAGTCAGTGCCACAACTCGAGGTCCAGTTACACTTACAGGTACTAGACAAATCATCCGACCAATTGAGGCAAAAGGTGAAGCACATGTATAAGCTTGTTTTTGGTACAAAGTTATTGAAAATGACTACGCAAATTCAAGCGGGAAATTTTTACACAGGATTAAGCATACTATCATATTGCCCGAACTAGTTTACGATCTGCGGGATCGATAGAACAATTATGCGCGAAAACTTTTGCAGACTCTTTTATGGCGGGATGGAATGCACCGAAACATACACGTGCACCATTCCTTTTAGTCAGTTGTGGGAAATATGTTGGTCCTTCAGGAATCCACCCAATTAATGTTACTTGATCCTGGACGTATATGTAACAGATTGGCCCCCCATCCAAAAGTAGAAGCCGGATGGCTACCTGTGACATAGAGACTCATATATTAGCGGTGAGCATGTTTTCCAGGAGTAAAAAGGAAGCGACAAACAATCATGCGTTAGCTGAAAACTCTTCGAGACCATTATAAACGAGAAATCCGACTGCATTGAATGGAGCCACCCGTCAAAACCAAATTTGTGTGCAAATGAAATATGGGGTCCTGCTAACAGTTGAATGACTGTAAAACATTCGCCCGTCCTACGACCATCGCCGTCACATTCGGCGGTATACCCGAGCAGCATCACCCAAACCAATAGATCAAGTTCTCTAGAACAGCATTTCTCAGTTTAGTCAATTTACACAAATTTTCATGTCTGTTCTGGTTATTCATCGACAGGGACGATATAAGTAATTAAAGGAATTGATACGCTGGTGTGGCAGTGAAGCATTAGTATTACCGTTTACAGGGATGATGATAACACTAACAAATACTTAAGTGATTTTCCATATGAACGTAGCCCATTGTGGTACGCCAATGGTGGTAGAGCCACAATGACAGTCACTGGATGTGTAAATAAGCCCTTATATTCCACTGCATCCCTGAACGGCCCGACCATAAGAATTGAACTCATAACTCATAATTGTTAGCCTAAAGAACACCTCACATATCCCGATATTGGTTGCGGTAAATCCCTCACGAGTCAGCGCCAAACTGTAGAGTAAGTAATTTCGTGAGCAGGTTGATAAAATCTACCCACTTTTTTGTAAATAAATGGGGTGTATGGGCTACAGCTACGATGCGTGGCAATCCTTGCTAGGATGCACAACAGCAGTTGCCTTTTGTTTTCGGTTTGGTATGAGACGTTGTTGTAACGGTTCAGAGTACTTGAAAACCCGTCTTAGGAGAAATCGATGAGATTAAGTCATGCTACACGTGCGCAATCAAACCTGCAGTCATGTTGAGCCTAGCCATCGAAAGCAAGATGCACCACCCAGGTAATGCATTCGATATATATAGATACATTTGACCTACAAACGTGAGAGCACAGCGACATGATGTGACAGTTAAAGTGTGTGTTGTCATGCCCGGAAGCCTAGTGAAAGAAAAGAGCAGTCCCTTAATAGCCTCTTTGGTCCACCGAGTCTTAGTAATGAAGAAATTTTGTGTGTGAAGTTGGAGAAAACTAGCCATATTGCTTTGTGTAGGTTTGAATAGAAAATTGTGGCTAAATTTGACGACAAACCGATGCTGAAGCTAAATGGCAAGATGTATGCACACAAAATTCTGTCAACAGTATCAAAACAGACCGACGAGAAATGTCAAGACATTTCCTGGAGATGAGTGTCATGGGGCTTTAGAAATATTTCTATTAGGAAGTCAATTTCGACCGACAGGCGCGGCGTGCTCACTCTAGCGGCCCAAAGGATAGAAATTCCAACCTCTAGGCTTGCTTTAAAGGTGGTAATCTGGATAGCTGCCCATAAGCTAACTAAGCTGAAACGATACATATGGATGGCATAGGAACATTTAGGACTGCTCACCTCATCTGACGTATCGGAATCACTCTGACCAAAAAGTTCTCTTTCCTGAAGTTTTAACACTAATTCCAGGGTGGCTTCTGCATCAGGGTCACCCATAATCAATCCCGAATATTTTGAAAGGTGTACACTCTCACGGTAATAGTCATCTTCATCCTCCCATGACATCAAGTTGTCGTCTGTAGAACTAGTGGAACCATTCTCGCTCTCTGATTCTTCATCCAAAGCTGTGTCATCCTCTCCACCGGGAACAAAGCTGGAATTCGCGGGATCCTGAGGCACTGTCTTTTTCGAAGCGCTTGCTTCTAGAAACTTCGCAATCAGACTCAACGTTCGATTGAGCAGAAAGATGTCCTCAGTCCTCACAAAACGGTAGTGGCGTACATAGGAACCAATGGTGCGAAGGCAGCTAAGAGACGGAGTGAAAAATTTTGGAAATGAATGAACCAAGTAGAGGTTACTTGCTGCACGATGGATGAAAAACGGTGGTGGGAATGAGTACCTTTCAGTACACTTAAAATTGCCCAGTCGATCATTAGTCTTAACCACTAGCAGTTCGTATTTCAACTTACTGAGTTACAGGCACACACTTCTGAAGTATGCATGGACAGGAAGTACTGCCTGAAAGAAAAAATGCTACAGCAGCATCTAAACACGCTGGCATACCGATTCGCAAAAATAAAGTCGAAACCGCCACCAAATCCGACGAAAATACTTAATTCGAAGAATGGTGCAATTACGTTGCCAATAGCCTCATTTCATTAAGTTTGAATTAAATCACTTTAGATTTACACGCGAGAGAAAAACGAACGATGACGCTAATAGTTCAAAACCTGCTGAAGTATTCTGTACACTTTATACTCTGTACATATTTGCCAGGCAGCACATCGGCAAATCCTTCTGAAGTAACCGTCTATTCACATCGATTATTGCCTCAAATACTCGCAACGGCAGACTCAGCGGCGGTCTAGATATCTTCAAAGCAACAAAGTGCACAGCATTCAGGATATCCAATAATTTCGGAATCGGATTGATTCTTCGGCCTCCTCGCATGTGTCGTTGTATCAGTTAACCTAATAAATCACCCAAATTCTTGCGGAGGTTTGTACTGACGCCGAGGGCCAACTGAAAATATCGCTTATTGCTGTCAAACAAGACTGAAACATTTGATCTCGTCTGCCTAGACCGGGTTATGAATCGCACGGGTGTACGACAAGCACTATAGCGTGGGAAGGTGCAGTCCTGGACTCAACTCATATTCACGTTGAAGTCAGCTCTAAGGTGTAAGTTGGCCGGACACGGGTCCCATTGTTTACTGTGCCACATTTGCAGTGCGGATTTGTTGAAAAAGGCAATAAATGTAAACTGGTAGCGACTCAAAAATACTGAACAACAATGCTACTTATACGTCATCAAAAAATGAAAATGCTTGGCACAACCGGATCGGTTAACCGACCCAGGTTGGGAAAGCTAGTGATGTACACGGAAGAAGTCTAAAAGGAAACAGGATAACGGAATAGTGTCGATGCTGGAAAAATGACGTACCACGACATTCGATAACCCCTCATATCATATTGCAACCGCGTCAACGGGCGAGCTGGTGGTTTGAAAACCATTATTCGCCAGAGAGAAGGTGAATGGAAAACACGCTGCCACTGGCGACAAACACGAGCAGCACGGGCTCGGTCGTTCCAGCTGAGGTAGGAAAATACCGGTTCCAGGATAAAATCTGGCAGATTCATTGAGAATTTCCATCAAATTTGGTCCCATGGAAGTGGCGGATAACGCCAGACACTGGCCGTGAGCATGGCGAGACTTTCCATCAGTACACCATGGTTTACCGTAGATACCCAAAGGAAAAGAACAAGGGTAGAAGGCAGTAGAGCATGTGCCAACAGTACTTCTTTACCTACCTAATTTGTGTAAAAACGTACCGGAAACAGTCAGCTGATCACGTCATGATCAAGCCAAATCAGCTGCGAACCGGCTTAGAAATATAGAGGAAGCTATACTCACCGGCGGGCATTGAACGAGTGACGCAGCGACTGGCAACAGGGACCTAAACATATAGGCCTGGGTCCACTACATGACAGCTGATTCCTTCATAGAGATAAACTAGTTCTGATGGTACTCCCGACCGAATATGTTTTCCCAGAATATATATTCAAATTTTGTATGTTTATTCACCGAATATGCATATCTTTTTGTTAAACTCGGGTAAACCTGATGTTTCGATTGCACAATCCGATATCACTTTCCACAGATTCCGCGTCGCCTCTTGGCCGTCCATGGTTCCAGTAAGCGACTATGTCCAATTTGATCTTGATTCCAGGCATGGCGAATAGGGACTAGACCACACTATCAGGTATTATAGTGGCTACAATACCGTTCCTGAAGTCGATCAATTAATGAGCTGAAAGGAGCCCAAAAGAAACCGCACGTTCGACTATTTCTCCGAATCGGTTTCATTAATTCAACCGTCAACCTAATAAAAGTGATTGAGTTTTTGGACGACTGCTGACACCCAACTCAGTTATCGCGCGCACATATGTGCTTCATGACGTATCTGATATTGCCCTAAAGTCCGTGTACCGAGGTACATTGGCCCGAGGATATCGAGAACAGAGGGGATAATGGAATGACAGTCACGTGCTGGATGAGAAAGCCCATTCACTTCAATGATACTAAACTTTTTTGCTGGTTTGATAAAGCGGAGAGCGCGGCGGCTACTTATTGAAGGAAATAGATTTGATGGAGGAAAGCTACTGATTGCGTGATTGCGCCAGGTCTGTCAGTTTCACTAACCATTGATACGTGGGTCTGGGGTCTCAATCCAAGGAGGCGGCAGTTGTCCACCCGACTGGATTTACTGGTTACTGTTCTGATACTTCTCTGCGAGGTTAAGGCACCGACCGGAAGATTCACAGTTCGAATCTGACCATGGTATCTTGACTGCCCCTGTCCAGACTTGGACAACGAGGCAGCATTCAGATTCTCGTTCTTCCTTCGGGTGGCACCAAAAAAACGTTACAACCGAAAGCTTATTATTCCAACTTTATCAATACGTCGGCAGATTCGTATTCAGTTTTCTTCTAGAGGTGCTACTCGTTTACTAACACATAGCCTGGATGAATTGACGGAAGTTCGTTCAAGAAGTAGGAAGACAGCTGCATATGAGAGGTTGAAAAATTTCACACATCAGCATTTCACACACAGCATGACATCAGTTTTCAACACCGA